ACAACTTTTTTTTTCAATTTTGCTCCAATATAGTATGTGTGGCCATACACCCCAGAAATCCCACAACCCAGCCATGCTGGCTGGGGAATTCTGGGAGTTGAAGTCCACTCAAAGTGGCCAAGTTTGGACAACACTGAACTAAACCATCTATGAATGGTGACTGTTCAGCCTCGCTTAAAGCCTGAATACCTCGGACACCTGCTCTGAGTAGAGTATGCCTATCCAGTAATACCAGGGAGAGAAGGCACATTAAGGCTCCCTCTGCCAAGGTAATGCCATCTTCAGGGGCTCTGTTCTTGTGCCTTTTCAGTGAAGGCCTCCTTGCTTTGGAATAGCCTCCCCTGTGTCAACTGGGCCCCACAGCGAGGCAAGATCAGAGAAGCAAAAATTATCCAGACTTTATCTTTCATGCTAGTCTTAGGGTAAGTACAGAATCCTGGAAACCGCAAGAGGACTTTCTAACACTCATCTACAGTGAATTCATTAAGGTGGAGTCTCTGAATGGTTTGAAACGCTTCTTCCCAGGTTTCTCACTACCTGGGACCCTTGCATTTGAAAGCTAAGCTGCCCACACAGTCTTGCCTTCTGTCCCTTGATCGTTTATGGTTATTCTTCTGTCCATTATTTTCCCAGTCTCCCCACTACCTCAAATATCCCGGCTACAGGGACTGTCCCCTCCTCATTAAGCTTTTAGAGAGCTTTGAAAATGTGACTCTTCCAAAGATTATTAAAAGAAAGATTGAGCTACCCCTAACTGCGGATGCTTGTAAAGTTGGAACAGTTCGCTTCAGTTTTTGCTATCCCTCCTGAGTTTTGTTATATGTACAGCTTTCCATCTTATTACTGTATGCAAGCTGCAGGGCATTCACAGTTTCCTGACTGGAGCAACATTTAAACATGCACGCATGAATGAATGAAGTCTCCATCAGCATAGCAGAATCTATAAAACTGCCAGAGGCTCCATAATAATCTATCAGAGCCTGGAGGTGTATTACAAAGCCAGTTTGAATGTGGAGAATAACTGGCAAAATCAAGCGTCGGTGCTGAGTATCTGTCAGCCGTTTGTGGTAGTCCAGACAACCATGAATACCAACACTACCTTTATTGTAAGGTTACAGTAACAGAATCTTGCAAGTCTGAAAGACCCTAACCCTAACCCAAAAACTAGGGAGGGTCCCTTCTGAGGCACTTTCTCTACCCCCACCCCTCCTTCGGAATCAGATTTCTCTTATCAGGCCATTGTTTAGATAGCGGCTCTTCCTCCTATCTCCCAAGGTCATTCCACATGCCATTAGAGTATCACATATCTGAGCCCCCCTAATTGCCAGATGTTCCCCTTCCCTGGTTCTGATTGAAGCTACATCATTACCCAGCAAGGCCAGCTGGACACTCCAGGGCAGTTGCTGGCAAAATGCTTCTTTCTTCCAAAAGTATGGCACTTCCCTGTCAATTCAAAGGGGGGAAGTTTAACAGTGCAAAATGTCCAAAAGCCCCACAATATAGACAGAGTGTTTGTAGACGCTGTTTTTCTGCAGCTAATAATGGGGGTATCCATTTCAAGGATTTGTCATCTGAAGACTCTGCTTAGCTCAGTGAGGAAGAAGGTGCAGGTATTGAAGGAGAGTGGGGTGTCTCTTCCCCATCCCTAGAATGTCTCAGTTCTTTGAGTCTTCTGACTATGGAGTCCTTGGGGTTCTCTGAGCTTGGTTCTTTTCTTGCAAACGTTTCATTACCCGGCTAGGTAACATCTTCATTGCTAAAATGGGATGGGGTTTGCTCTGTTTATATATATTTTTTAAAAATTCCCCTCTCACCCCTATGGGTGGTATGTATCTTCCTCAGCCTCGGGTCCTCTACCAGAGGCCTGGGAGTTTGAGGGTTCTGCACAGTATCTTAGCTGTT